GAGCCATGTTGCTGTCTTCCAACAAATCTTGACACCACCAATTCCACTCCAACTTCCTCAGCAATCTTGTAGACATCCTCCATGAGCTCTGTAGCAACTTGCTCTGCATCACTGCGGCGAGTTGTTATTGGCCTAAGGATCAGTTTGATGTGTTCTGAACAATGGAGCAGGTGCAGGATTTTAGAACTGCAGAGCATTTGCCACAGGTCCCAAGGCAGAACACTTGGCTATCAGAGCAATGATGAATTGAGCTTTGGTGGCAGCAGAATGTAGCTGGAAGGCCTGTTTCCTTATGCTGCCATTTCCTTTGAGTGATCTCTCCAACCCATCAATGATGCTCACAAAATGCTCTTGGAAAACTGCAATATTTTTGTACTTTTGGGACCATTGCGTCTCACAGAGGAGTGGAATGTTTAGAGCGTAGTGTCTGGGCTGAACGATGGGGGTGGAGACGCTCCTTCAGGTATACTGGGCCGAGGCCGTTTGGGGCTTTAAAGGTCATCACCAACACTTTGAATTGTTGGGGTCCCTTCCAGGGCTTTTTTTTCCTGGCAGAAATCACCAGAACTCAGTTCTGGCACCACCACTCAGGTGTGTTCAGGGTGAATTCCGGCACCTCGTTTATTGGAAAAAATAGCACTGGTTTCTTCCAACCATGGGTGGACTGCTTCCCATCAAGTAAATTTAACAAAAATCGAAATACTTAACTGAAAGCAGAAATTATCAGAATATTTGAAATTGAAATGCTCCCTGAGGTCACTTGGATGATGTTGTGGCACGTTCTAGCAACTGCATGCAACTAACACAGATCAGAACAGAAAATGGTGCTTTTTTATATCCTTACCAGTGACTGTCTCTCCACCCTAAAGTAGGGTTACCAGACATCCCCGTTTCCCAGGGACAGTCCCCGGATTTGCAAATTTGTCCCCGGACAAATTCCATCCCCAGAATGTCCCTAGATTTCATCTAATGTCCCCAGGAAACATGGCAGCAGCAGCGGCAGTCTCAGCAGCCCGGAATCAGCCTGGTAGCGCAGTTGGCTCTGGCTAGCTTCAGAAGCTGCCTGCTACCATGATGCCCGCCATTTTGCCTCGCTGGAAGTCCCCATATGATGTGTTGCACACAAGACACATCATATAGGGACTCGGAGAAGGGGCTCAAGACATGGTGTTGGGCGCTGCTGCTGGGCGAAAGCTGCGCAGGGTCGTTGAGTTTGGTGCACCACTGCAACTTGGGCTCAGCTCGCTGTCAGCACCGCTTCCCAAGGCCATCGGCTCAGCCTCTGGGTGGTGCTTGGGCAGCTGCGGCTGCGCCATTGTGCTCCTGAACTTGCAAGCGGCGGCTCAGCTTGTTGGCCAGCTCGTCGTTGGCCATTGTGGACGATCTGGCCCAAGCGTGCCTCCTCCCGCTTGCTCGCCGCCAGCTCTGCCCCGGACCCACTGACTGGGCGTGCTACAGTGCAGATAGATAGATAAACTTTATTTGTGTTAGCCAACGGCCATAGCAACATAAAACAAGCAATATATACCTGAAGGAGCGTCTCCACCCCCATCGTTCAGCCCGGACACTGAGATCCAGTACCGAGGGCCTTCTGGCGGTTCCCTCATTGTGAGAAGTGAGGTTACAGGGAGATGGGTGGGGTATAAATAATAAATTAATTATTATTAATTATTATTATTATTATTATTAAAAGACAACAGTGGGTAAAAAGGGCAATCAAATGACTAAGATTATCGTTCAGATAGTGGCCCTTAATCTCACTGCACCCTCGATAAACCTAGCAACCTTTGCTGTTGTCTGATCATTTTGATCTGATAAAAGAAAGGATAATGTGGCCGCAGATGGGCGGCCTGGGATGGTAAGTACGGTGGGGATGGGCGGCCACGGGACGATCCCTGCGCAGGAGACGCCCAGACAGACGGGCAGGGCAGCAGCAGGAGGAGGGGGGTTCTGTTAACGCTTACTCCCGAGTAAGACTATAGGGGATCGCAGTGCAAGCACGGCTAGCGCTCCAAGAAAGGCCGGGACCCAGAGGAGACCACAGAAGAGAAGATATTACTTTTTTATTTTTTAAATAAAATTTTCCCTCTCTTTTTTAAAAAAAAGATATTGATTGATTCATTCATTCATTGATTGATAGTGTCCCGGGATTCATTGAAATAAATCCGGCAACCGTACCCTAAAGACCATTCCTTCCCCGATCCAGACTTCATGCTGCACTTCGAAGCCCTCAGACCCTCCCAAGTCAGAGAATGAAGTCAGAAATAATACTCCACTCCCGCCCAGAACCTACAGCTCGGAGGAAGCAGTTCAGAATTCCCGCTCAAACGCCTCTCTCTCCCTCTCCACTTTCTTTTCCTCTCTCTGCCCCGCCTCTTCCGGTGACGCCGCGCGCCCTTTGCGGAGCCTGCGCATTATTCGGAGGGGGAAGCGCGCGCTTTCAGCTTCCGCCTCCGTTCCAGTGACCGGAAGTGTCCGGCTGAGCAGGCGAGGGACAGGTGGCAACGTTCCGCCGCCGCAAAGACCCCGTTAAGATTGAATACGTAAGGTGGACTTGTACTGTTCTTGTGGCGCTAAGCCTGCCTTTTTCGCGCCCCCTCCCCACAGGTTCTTAGCAGGGTGGTGGGCTTCCTTCCGCCCTCCCCGATTCCCAGCTGTTTCATGGGGGCCCTGCAGAAAACTTGCACTGGGAGAGAGAGGTCTAGTAGCCACTTACTGGCGACTGGGGTGGAGAAAGGAAAGGGTTTATATTGCCAGAAACAACGCGGGTACTGTGTTGTGGCAGGATGTTGTTGTAAACAAAAATCTGCCCTTTTCCCTTATGGGGTATCCAAGAGCCAATATAGAGTCCTTAATATTGTGATAGGAATTATGAGATCTTAGGAAAAGGGACCCCTGACCATTAGGTCCACTCGTGGCCGACTCTGGGGTTGCGGCGCTCATCTCGCTCTATAGGCCAGCATGACTAAGCTGCTTCTGGCGAACCAGAGCAGCACATGGAAACGCCGTTTATCTTCCCGCTAGAGTGGTACCTATTTATCTACTTGCACTTTGACATGCTTTCGAACTGCTAGGTTGGCAGGAGCAGGGACCAAGCAATGGGAGCCCACCGTGTTGCGGGGATTCGAACCGTTGACCTTCTGATCGGCAAGTCCTAGGCTCTGTGGTGTAACCCACAGTGCCACCCGCGTCCCTTATGAGGTCTTAGATATATGGTAATGTTCATAAGTGTACCAACCAAGCACGTACATAAATCAGCACAGGAAGACCGACCTGAAACCATTTTGATTCCCCAACAGACCAGATGTTTTCTCTGCAAGGTCAAAGGAAAATGGAAAAGCCTCCCCATTGTCTTTTCCTTCACAAATCCTGTCTTAAGGGTATGTCTGTGTTTGAATACGGTGTGAGCCTGTGACATGGCCCAGGAACTATTTATCATTACAAAAGACTGGCCAGGCTCCCCAGGCAATCCAATCTAGTAAGCAGGGTATCCAATCAGGTAACCTGCCAGACAGGAGATAAACGATGACAGGAGAAAAACAACATTCAAATTTCTGTTTTAGATTGCCTTTTCTGTGATGTAGGTATGATGTATCTGGGGGGTGGTCTTAGGTTACACCTCTTCTGTGATATATGTATGATGTTCCTGGGGGTGGTCTTGATCTGTTGCTGTTGTTGTTTAGTCATGTCCGACTCTTCGTGACCCCATGGACCAGAGCACGCCAGGCACTCCTGTCCTCCACTGCCTCCCGCAGTTTGGTCAAACTCATGCTGGTAGCTTCGAGAACACTGTCCAACCATCTCGTCCTCTGTCGTCCCCTTCTCCTTGTGCTCTCCATCTTTCCCAACATCAGGGTCTTTTCCAGGGAGTCTTCTCTTCTCATGAGGTGGCCAAAGTATTGGAGCCTCAGCTTCAGGATCTGTCCTTCCAGTGAGCACTCAGGGCTGATTTCCTTCAGAATGGATAGGTTTGATCTTCTTGCAGTCCATGGGACTCCCAGGAGTCTCCTCCAGCACCATAATTCAAAAGAATTATGAGAGGTCTAGTACTAGAGAGGTATAGAATTATGAGAGGTCTAGTAGCCACTAACTGGCGACTGGGGGTGGAGAAACGAAAGGGTTTATATTGCCAGAAACAACGCGGGTTGTGTGTGTTGTGGCAGGGTGTCACCCCCGCCAGCAAGGATGATAGGATGTGTGTAAGAGTCTCTTCCCTCCCCATAGCCATTTCTTCGGATTCAGCCTCTTTTCCCCCTCTGCTGTGCATGTTAGTGGAGAGAGAATTCTGACCGTTAGCTTGCATGACTTGTGTGTGGACGTGGGCACGCAAGTGGTTTAGGGATTTTTTAAAGTGACCTTGCAAGCAAGATTCACTTCTCACACTGCGTCATAAAGACAGTGCAGCGAACCAAGACCTTCCCATTTTTTATTCCGCTTTACAATTGCATGTGGCAATTAAACAATATAAACAAGGGAGATACGGTGTGGATGTATCATACATCGTGCCCCACGCGTGACAATGGCGTTTGAGAAAAATACCAGCACAGTGATGCCTCATAAGCAAAAGTGGTTTCCAGTGTGGACTGCACCCCAAGGTGTGGTTCATCACTGAAAACCTCCCACCCCCTAATGTCTTGATCCCCAAAAGCATAAATCTACTGGAATGTAAGCCTGCGGGCAACAACGGTGGTTTATCTTTGTACTGAACTTTGTACAGAAGCCCGCATCCTTTGGATTGTTACCATCTAGCTTGATGGATTCTGGAAAACTTGAAAGCTTGCACGCTCTTTTGCTTGCATTTTTATTTAATAGGTGGCCTAATAAAGGCATTGCCCTTATACGGATTTTGGGGGAAAACAAAAAACTTTAGGTATTTTTAATGTATACATAAGTGGGTATTTTTTTAAGCCCCAAAGCTTTCAATTGACAGCACGATCCCATCGCCGGAACTATAGATGGCAGCAGAGAGCTCGCTCCGTTCCGCAGGACCAGGAAGTGGCGCCCTTGTGACGTTCCATTCTCGCGGCGCGTCGTTTTGTTTTGTTGGAACGTACCACGAGCGACGGCGGGGGGGGGGGAGAGCTCGCAATCCCAAAGTCCTAGAAGAGAGAAAAGAGTGAAGCCACCCCTGAAACGAGCTGCATCGGTTAGGTAACAACCCCTCTATCCTTACATACATCTCAGAGGATGCGGCAGGAAGAATAGCATCGGCTTGCGTTAAAAGGCTATAGATCTCCCCCCCCCTTCCCATTCACCTTTAGTTGGGCTGCTCCGAGGGTTAAGTTGTTCGGCCTGGGAAGCATCAGCGGTTGGGGCAGGTGAGTCTCCAGTTCATATTCTCAAAGGGGGGGGGGTTGGGGGGACAGCTCGCCTCCCTCTTTCCGCGCTGTGAGCGGCGCGCGGCCCCTCGGCCTGCTGGTTGCCTTGGTAACCAACCGTCGCCACCCGCTCGCGCCGGTGGCTTCGTGGCCTTTGATGGCGCCTTGATACGCCACAAAACTGGTAAGGGGCGAGCAATGCCGGATTTACGTGTAAGCTGAACAAGCTATAGATTAGAGCCTCACTCTCTTGGGGGGCCCGAAAAAAATTAGAGAGGGGGAAAAACTGGATGTACGTTTCCAAAATATCACTGGTTTGATAATTACAGTGGTACCTCTGGTTAAGTACTTAATTCGCTCTGGTCTGTTCTTAACCTGAAACTGTTCTTAACCTGAAGCACCAGTTTAGCTAATGGGACCTCCCGCTGCCGCCGGAGCACGATTTTTGTTTTTATCCTGAAGCAAAGTTCTTAACCTGAAGCACTGTTTCTGGGTTAGCGGAGTCTGTAACCTGAAGCGTATGTAACCTGAAGCGTATGTAACCCGAGGTGTTGTTGTTTAGTCGTGTGCAACTCTTCGTGACCCCCTGGACCAGAGCACATCAGGCACTCCTGTCTTCCACTGCCTCCCGCAGTTTGGTCAAACTCATGCTGGTAGCTTTGAGAACACTGTCCAACCATCTCGTCCTCCATCTTTTCCTTCTCCTTGTGCCTCCATCTTTCCCAGCATCAGGGTCTTTTCCAGGAGTCTTCTTCTCATGAGGTGGCCAAAGTATTGGAGCCTCAGCTTCAGGATCTGTCCTTCCAGTGAGCACTCAGGGCTGATTTCCTTCAGAATGGAGAGGTTTGATCTTCTTGCAGTCCATGGGACTCTCAAGAGTCTCCTCCAGCACCATAATTCAAAAGCATCCATTCTTTGGCGATGAGCCTCCTTTATGGTCCAGCTCTCACTTCCATACATCACTACTGGGAAAACCAGAGCTTTGGCGCCTTCCGACCTGAGGGGCTCATCTTCCAGCGTAGTAACTTTTATATGCCTGTTGTCTTTGTCCATGGAGTTTTCTTGGCAGGGATACTGGAGTGGCTTGCCGGTTCCTGCTCCAGTTGGATCACGTTTGGTCAAAACTCTCCACTATGACCTGTCCATCTTGGGTGCCCTGCACAGCTTCTCTGAGTTATTCAAGCCCCTTCACCATGGCAAGGCAGTGATCCATGAAGGGGATAGGGTGCCTACATTCTGCTATTTATAATTATTAGCAGTTTGCATCATATATTTACACCTCTTATTATTTCATGTTATAGCAAGCTTCTAAGAGACTAGATTACGTGTCTTTGTAAATTGCTTTTCTAAAGGAACTTTTGTTATTGCCAAATGCCAATGTGCTTGCAATATTAAGTTTGTTATGAATAAAAAAATCATTTTAAGTTAGAGCTTAATAATTATTTCACTATTAATATACTTCTTCTTAATTGTATTTCACTATTAATATACAGGGTGAGTCCTTTAAAAGAGGCCTCGTGGATACAGAGTACACATGTTCCGCGGGCCTCTTTTAAAAGACTCACCCTGTACTACTTAATTGTATTTCAGTTGAACAATTACTTTGATAAAATACATATTTTGTTATGTGCAAATGGCTTTAGATACCAGTTAGGTACATAAATTACCATATAGCTTATATTCAACACAAAAAACAGTGACAATTTGTGGTTGACAAAGGACAGCTGGACATATAAAGGGCCCCATTACCTTGAGTAGCTTAGGGCCCTATCAAACCTAAATCTGGCCCTGGACGGGTGGGTTATTGTTCTGTTGTTTTGGTTTAATTGTCTTATCTTGTATTTTATTCTGAGGACCACCCTGAGATCTTTTGAAGAAGGACAGTATATAAATTTAATAAATAAAAAAATATGTAAATGAATAAAAAACTGAGCGCTTCTTTTTGGATTGGGTTTAACTGCATATTATGCAACAGCCCCACTGCCTCACAAGGTGGTTGTGTGTTGCCTCACAGAAGTTGTCAGGGTTCCGACCCGGTGAACCCTTGCTTATAAATAATAGCTTCTTAAAACAGGACTGGATTAAGACCTTTTGGAGGCTTTAAGCACTGAAAAGTTTATGGTCTCTTTCATACCCTCCAACATTTCTCCCATGAAATTAGGGACACCCTATTCATAGTAATAATAATAATTATTATTATTATTATTATTATTATTATTTTATTTGTACCCTGCCCATATGCTTCTAACATGTATAAAAACTTCCCAAACAGGGCTGCCTTCAGATGTCTTCTAAAGGTTGTATTTCCTTTGCATTGGGGTGATATAACTCCATACCCTCCAAAATGCCTCTGATGAAAATAGGGACGTCCAAAATTTCTCCGATGAAACTAGGGACATCCTAAGGAAAAGCAAGCTATTCCAGGATCAAATCAGAAACTGGGACTGTTGCTGGAAAATAGGGGAACTCAGTGGGTCTGAATGATGTCATGGGGAAGGGTCTGCTCTTTCCATATCAGATTTGAAACAAAAAAAGATATTGTTGTTGTTGTCATTTAGTCGTGTCCAACTCTTTGTGACCCCATGGACCAGAGCACGCCAGGCACTCCTGTCTTCCACTGCCTCCCGCAGTTTGGTCAAACTCACTATCCAACGATCTCGTCCTCTGTCGTCCCCTTCTTGTTGTGCCCTCCATCTTTCCCAACACCCGGGTCTTTTCCAGGGAGTCTTCTCTTCTCATGAGGTGGCCAAAGTATTGGAGTCTCAGCTTCAGGATCTGTCCTTCCAGTGAGCACTCAGGGCTGATTTCCTTCAGAATGGATATTTTTGATCTTCTTGCAGTCCATGGGACTCTCAAGAGTCTCCTCCAGCACCATAATTCAAAAGCATCAATTCTTCGGCGATGAGCCGCCTTTATGATCCAGCTCTCACTTCCAAACAAAAAAAAGATATTACTAAGCTGTAAAATGTTGCTTTTCAAAATGACGCAGAACTTCTATGTGTGCTGCAATGTGCATGTGTGTATGGCATGTGCAACACATGAAAGGATCTAATTTCCTCGTATATATTTAAATATATGTTAGTTAGTACGCCCCCTGGTTTAGATAAGTAATAAAAAGGGAACAGAGAAATTGGGGAAGAGTGTAATGGAGAGTAAGGAAGTCTAACAAAGCTCTGATTTCCCCCATAATGACAGATTTAAGGGTTTAAAAAAATAATATTCTTTCAAAAATGCCTACGTGGGTTTTTTGGGTGGAGGGCTGTGTTGCTTGTGCCCTAAGCACATGCCTATTGAGTAATTTAGCACTGTACTTAAATGGCACCTCTTAAGAACTCACAATTATAATTAATTACATTTATATCCCACCTTTCCTCTGAGTTTCTTAAGGTGTATGTGGTTCTCCTCTGCCATTTTATCTATACAACAGCTAGTGAGGTAAGGTAGGCTGAGAGTTAGTGATTGTCCTAAAGTCACCCAGTGAACTTAATGACTGAGCAGAGATTTGAATCCTGGTTTCCCACTTACTCTGGCAACCTTGCTTTAATCATGCACTATGTTATTTGTTTTTACAACAATCTTGCCAAGTAGCTCAGTATAGCTTCTCAAGTTGTCAGATCACAACCTAGTGCGTGTACTTTACTTGACCTGCTGACCTGCGAAAGATAAGCAGATTAATTTTTTCCTGGCATGCAGATGAAATGATAGGCAGAGCTTCTGCTTGAGTTCTCTGCATGCTTGACTGCTTTTAAAGGGCTCAGGCAGCGATGTGGCGTTAAACATTTTCCATAATGGAACATTTGCTGCTCCTGTATTTTCCATAGAAAAATGGTCATTCCTAAAATGCATTGTTACATAAATTAGTTACCGGTACATAGGATTGTATACAGCGTTGCACAGGCAGTGCTGAACCTTCCAAAATTCCCTCTTCTGCACATCTCTAAAAAATACAAAAGTTCTGTTATCTGTTATCCTACAAGACTCCTTCCCTAGGCAACTGTTCACATGACTGTTCAGGCTAGTTCAGGGAGGATGGTATGCACAAGCTTGTTTCACAGGATTAATCTGTGCTTCTTTTAATTCTACTTAGGTTTTTGTATGAACTTAGAAATGTTGATCAAAAGTCCAGGGTATTTCTCCCACGCCTTCTGGGACTCAAGCAATGGTTTCTTATTTAGCAACACTCAATTTTAATATTAAACCAGGAACAGATAGCAAGCCTACAGCCTGGCTATATCTGTGTCTTTTCTGATATTTTAAAAATCAGATTAAAATATATGAAGCATGGATTAAAAGGATGAAGGAAAATAAGCTATTTTTCAATGCTGTTTCTCATTATAATAAAACCTCTGAATTGTTAACAAAAATAATCTAAGCTTACTAGCAGAAGTGTTGCTCAATGATCACCGAGGAATCGCCGCAATGAAATTCAGCTTATTCAGGGGCATTTCCAAACTGAAGCCACACATGAAACCACTAGAGGGCAATCTGGACACGTGCTTGAAGTCAGCTGCTATTTGACATCAAGGTCTACCTTTAAGTCACACTTGAAGCACGTTTCCCCCCTCAAAAGAATTCTGGACATTGTAATTTGGTCAAGGATTTCTGGGGATTGTAACATTGTGAGGGGTAAACTACAGTGTCCATAATTCTCTGAGGGAAAGAGAGTTTGGAGTTGGAATTCCACTGTTGATGTGGAAGAAAGACGACAAAACAAATCTGTGTTGCCATTTTGTTCTTTGTGTTACACTGATAATTTGATTTCCTTGCAGAGGAAGAAAATGAATCAAGTGTTTTTATTCTCCTTCACCACAAAAATCCCCCTCTTCTCCCATTTGCACAATTGTTTTATCCCAGGCTTGTTATTTTCATTTAAAACCAGCTCAGTTCACTTTCATAGCTTGACACTTTGCTGTTGGGTATTCCTACCCTCCATAAATATTGCCATTCTCTGTTTTGGTTGCACTGCTTTTTAAATGGGAGGGCAGCTTATCTATTTTCCTTTGCAAAAGCCAGGATGAACTGCCGTTCAGAGGTACTGGAGATATCAGTGGAGGGACGCCAGATTGAAGAAGCGATGCTTGCTGTTTTGCACACCATATTGCTTCATCGCAGCACAGGAAAGTTCCACTACAAGAAGGAAGGGACCTACTCCATTGGGACAGTCGGCACACAAGATGTTGACTGTGACTTCATTGATTTTACCTATGTTAGAGTTACTTCCGATGAGCTTGACCGGGCCTTGAGAAAAGCTGTTGGGGAATTCAAGGTAAAGCTTGCTATTACTCACTGTTTATTTTTTAAGTACATGAGACTGCCCATGAAGATGGTTCAAAAACTTCAATTTTTCCAAAATGCAATTGAGCCACCAAGGTTTGGGCAGTGACCAAGAGAATGGAACATGTGACGCTAGTCCTTTGCCACCTTCACTGGTGACCAAGTTCTTTCCAGTCTCATTTCCCTAAATAGCCTGCTACTGGATAGTTTGCAAAATCACCTCGTCCCATATAAATTTGCCCAAGAATTCCATTCCTTTTCTGTGTCCAGCAAGTCTTTTTTGCAGTTGTCCCCAGGTCTGCATGGAATCCTTCTCCACATATCTTAACAAGTGTTTTGTACAGCATGGCTGGGTGATAGTTGTGACCTTTTTAAATAAGGGGATTTAGGACACCAAAGACTTCTGTCTCCAGTTTTATAAGCACATTGTTTTGCTCAACTGTTCAGTGGAATTGGGTTAGATTTCTATCATACAAATCCCACATACTATCAATTAATGTACATAATTTGGAAGACATATTTTTTAATCTGCATTCTGGTAACTTAGCAGTAGGATGTTTAAATTTGAAATTTGGTAATATATGAGAAAGTAAAATGGATGCCAGGCACAGTGAATGACAATGCCCATGTAGGGCTGAAGGGAAAGAACTGGAATGAATGTAGAAAGAGAGGGTCTTGTATAGTGTAAAACCATCCAGCCGATTGATGACTGGAAGCAGAGTTAACTCCTTTTAGCAAATATTGCCTTGAGCAATCCTCAGTCTTGGGAGTCAAGAAAACGTGCTTGATCTTCAGAGTTCTGAAAAGCTTTCGGATTGTATGAAATTTTGGCCATACAACTGTCTATCCACCTTGAATGTGTGGATGCACAGCATGATTCTTGGTACAGGGAGCAGTGATTTCTATATGTTGTGAAGGTCTTTGGGAATCAGCATTTTAAAATGTTCATTGGTGGTTCTGTATTCCCAGGATGCACTGCGGAACTCGGGCAATGATGGGATGGGCCAGATCTCGCTGGAGTTCTACCAGAAGAAGAAATCACGCTGGCCATTCTCTGACGAGTGTATCCCATGGGAAGTGTGGACGGTCAAAGTGAACGTGGTGAGCCTGGCTAATGAGCAGGAGCGGCAGATCTGTCGTGAGAAGGTTGGTGAGAAGCTCTGTGAGAAGATCATCAACATTGTAGAAGTGATGAACCGACATGAGTACCTGCCCAAGATGCCCACCCAGTCCGAGGTGGACAATGTCTTTGATACGGGGCTGCGGGATGTCCAGCCCTACCTGTACAAGATTGCTTACCAGATCACTGACTCACTTGGAACCTCGGTCACTACAACCATGCGGCGCCTCATCAAGGATACCCTGGCACTCTGATCTCCATGAGACTGTAGACCTGACATTATTGAGAGGCAACATGAGCAACTGGCTTTCTGTCCAAAAGCACCAAATACATATTTTCTCCCAGAAAATCTGGGAGTCTTGATATCCAGGTGCCCTGTTCTAATTTATTAATTTCCAAGTATCTCTGGGCAAAGACAGAACCAGCCCTGACTCCTGGGTTCAGTACACCAGTTTACGTGGAACCCAGACTCTCACAGCAGAAAAGGAAACCAGGATTCTTCCTTCAGCTCCCTTTTCTGTTAGACTTAGCTCTACAAGCTTAGAAGGTGTGCCTCTTCATGGGAGAAAATAGTGTGTATTTTTTCGTGAGCATTTCCCTAATATAGGACAGGTGATAACTCCAAGCTTGGTTCTCTCCATGACCAGATGCCTTTATTTATTAACTGTAGAGTCTTTCGTTAATGGAAATCTGCCAGAGCTGGGGTTACTTATCTTGGCAAAATGGGTGCCTTTCATCCTGATAAACCACTCCTTCTCCTTGACCCTCCTCTGACTTTAGGATAATTGAATAAGATTATAAGTCTCCCTGTCTTGTTCATGTCGGTTAGGGCAGTAGAGGGCCGCAGACTCATTTTTTTCCTTGTGAGTCCTGGTTGCAAAGAAGAGCTAAGTCCAAAAGACCTGTTCAAAGGGCTGTCTTTAACTTGCCAATCTAGTCCTCATCAACCCCACAGTTGTAATTTCTCAGTAGAGTTTGGAAGTCAGGCACTTGCATTTCTAAAAATAAGGATCTTCAATTACTTGTATTTGTTTTTCCAGTGTAACGTAAATGTATAATAGTCTGAGAATTAAAATTAGAAAACCCAAATCTCTGCCTCTGTATATGCTATACAATAATAGTTTTCAGATGCCATACACTGAAAAGGTTGGGAAAGTGTCTACCAGTATGTAGTTGGGCAGAAGAAACCTAGATTCGAAGTCCAACATTCCGCTAGAAAGTTCACCATTGAGTCTTAACCAATCATCATCTCAGCCTAGTTTGCCTTTAGGGGCTTGCTGTGCAAATAAAAAGAAAGAAAGGAAATTGATCTGTGGCAGCCTAACACCCTTGGAGGAAGGATGCAGTACAAATGTAACAGACATTCTTAGGCAAATCAACCAGGAAATACACATGTGCAGCTTAAAAAGGTAAAGGTACCCCTAACCATTAGGTCCAGCCGTGGACAACTCTGGGGTTGCGGCACTCATCTTGCTTTACTGAGGGAGCCGGCATTTGTCCACAGACAGCTTCCGGGTCATGTGGCGAAACCAAAGCAGCACACGGAAACGGCATTTACCTTCCCACCAGAGTGGTACCTATTTATCTACTTGCACTTTGATGTGCTTTCGAACTGTTAGGTGGGCAGGAGCTGGGACCGAACAACAGGAGCTCACCCCATTGTGGGAATTTGAACCGCCGACCTCCCGATCGGCAAGCCCTAGGCTCTGTGGTTTAGACCACAGCGCCACCCGCGTCCCTTACATGCATACAAATCAGTGTGTTCAAATAGGATCACAGCCTTTCTTGCAGATACACGTGCATTTATATCAAACTTAATTGGAATCTGAATTTACTGGTTCACTTTTACTGGTGGCCCTTCGACCTAATAAAATGTTGAAAACTTCCAGTTTAAAGCAAGGGCAAATCTGGGACACGTGCTCAATCCAGTCTCTTTGGTATACGCTTAAAAGTTAAAACCGCCTTCCCTTACTTTGACTAATCATATCCGTAAGGGCGGGAACTTCCACAATTCCGAACAATGATCAAGCCGGGTTTCCTTGAAAGGCGTCGGCTCTAGCCTGTAGTGGAGAGCTATAGTGATAAAGAGCAGATCCCTGGCCCAATAGGCTACTTACTAACTAGGCACATCCCCCATGGCACCTCCCCTCTCGCTTAGCCCTTCCCACCCAGCGATTGCTCCAGCGGGTGAGTGACAAGGCAGCTGACCCAATAAGCTTCAGGGAGCCGAACACTCCCCGGCCAATAGCCGACTCGGACGGCGCCATCCCCCCCTTCAGCCGGAGTTGACTGAGGCTGTCGGCGGCGGTTGCTCTTTCAGTCAGCCGGTGGCCGCCATGTTGGGCTTCGCGGGTCGCTGCTGCGCCTCTTCGGCCGCCTCCCTGCTGCGGCGGGGCGTGCGGAGCGCGCCGAGCCCGCTCCAGGACCTGCTGAAGCTGCGCGGCGGGGTCGCCTCAGCTGCCACCGAGGCCCGTGAGTGAGCGGAGGGCGAGGGAAGGCGCCCGAGGGCGGGGTCACCTTGGGGCCTAGTGGCGGGTGTGAAGCGCTGCGAGGACGGCGTGGGCCTGCAGGACTCGCACGCAGCAAATCCTTATGCCGAATCTGCTCCTCTGCGGCGGGAGGAGCTGCCTTTCAGGCTGCAGGGCCTTTTCTGCTGGCTGAAGTCAAATCTCTGCAGTCAGGCTTTTTATTATGTTCTTATCTATCTATATATATATAATATATATATGCGTGCTGTAAGCCATCCAAAGTGGCTGGGGAAACCCAGCTAGATGGTCGGGGTCTAAATATAAAATTATTATTATTATTATTATTATTAGGGAGGGAAAACATAAGAGGCCCCTCTGGATGAGCCCCACTTAGCCCACGGTCGCGTTCCTTTTTTGTCGTAAATTTTAATTGATTTTCATACAATTCAACAAATTCAATTCGCAATATTCCCTCAGCATTTTGACTTCCCGGTCTTAACATCCACGGCGTTTCTGTTCAGATCCTTTTTACCTGCTACCTTAAATGTTATACTTCTCTATTACGGGTTTGGGAGGGACGACACGCATCTGTGCCCCCCTCCCCCAATGCAGGACACGCGGCCCCCTCCGAGCAATCGTCGTTCGGAGGCATTTGTAACGTTGGAATCCTAGCGCTTCGGTTGCGGAAGCGTGCACGCGAAAGCCCCGTGGACGTGAGAGCGCAAAGCTGCCCTTTCACGCGACGCGTGGCCCCTGGCAAGGATCGGGTTTTTTTGGAACTGGGAAGGGAAGGTGGCCTGTTTTAACATGGGAGGTTGTTGCAGGGGAGCCGACGACGAAGATGGCGATGGGAAAAGGCTTTGGCAGTGTGTCGGGGTGGCGGTGGTAAAGGGCTGGTCATGGGTGTGCAAGCGTTTCCAAAGCACGCGAGACTAGTGCCTCTGTTTTCACCTTCCACAAGGTGGCCAGTATCAAGGGGCCTGGCCTTTAAGGCAGCCTTTCTCAACCTGTGGGTCACCAGAGGATGTTGAACTACAACTCCCATCACCCCTAGCTAGCAAGGCCAGAGCTCAGGGATGATGGGAGTTGTAGTCCAACAACATCTGGGGACCCACAGGTTGAGAACCGCTGCTTTAAGGGAAGGTTATGCCAGAAAGTGGGGGTGGGGGGTTGCTTCTGGAGTAGTGAGGGAGGTGGGTCTGGGTTGCCAGTGCTGGACTCAACTAAGCCAGCATAGAGAGATTCCTTGCAGAGTGTCTGCAGTGTACAGGGAGACAAGTAGAAAAGGCATATATTGCTGGAGTGGAGGATCTCTGTAGCTGGAAACTGGCTTATGGGTGTATAAAGGGATCCATGTTTTGTGCTTGGGAGCAGTTTGTTCTCGACTTAGTCTCACACTGGTAACCTCAAGGATTTAGGAATGAGGGTTACAAGGTCACAGCCTGAAGTTCTCCCTGATTCAGCGGGTTCTCCAGGCCAAAAGGGTGGGAGTCTTGAGCTAACTCCTGTCACATTTGCTTCCTTTGCAGCCTTGGGGGTGGGGAAATACTCTGATAACCGCTTAATCGTCATGTCTGCCATGGTTGTCCTCTAGGCCGGAACTATGCTGCACAGGCGGCTCCTGCAGCTAAAGCTGGAGTGGCCACTGGGCGCATTGTGGCAGTCATCGGTGCTGTGGTGGATGTCCAGTTTGATGATGCCCTGCCACCGATCCTCAATGCACTTGAGGTGCAAGGCAGAGATACACGGCTGGTGCTGGAGGTAGCACAGCACTTAGGTAAGCACCATTTGTATTCCTTGGCTTTTCTCTAGTCAGGTTTTAACTCTTCCTTCCTTGATGATCAGTAAAATGACTTTCGTTCTTCTGAGCTTGCTGAAGCCATATTTATGATCTGAGAAGGAATTTTAAATCCACTGCTAACCAGAAAGAAGGCAACTGGACACAGGGCCGCGTTGACTGGTGGTATTGGTTAGTGTTGTGGCCCAATTTTACTTATCAGTCTCCAACCCAGGAGAATGTAGGAGTTTTTGAGGGCACTGGCATTTTATGGCCCAACACAATAAGGAGCAGATTACCTATTTGATATTCTCAAACACAGATCCCCTTGCCTTTCCTTCTTGACCTTGGTATCTGATTGTCATGAGCTTAATGTTTTAATCTTGAAATAAATCTTTACTGAAGTGCTTTTTCAGTCATAAATCTGTTAACACGATGTACTGAATTTTAGCTCTAGTCTCTGTGTATGTTAAATGGAAAGTACATTGTTTCCATGCCCAATGTTTATGTCATTCTCAAACAGAAGTAAAGCTTCCTTTAGCAATTTACCACAGGGGATTAACATGGAGTATTTCCCCCCTCTAAATATTGAACTCATTGGGTTTAGTGAGAAATGCAACTTACAAAGTTTGTTCTCCATTGTAGGTGAGAATACGGTTCGTACCATTGCTATGGATGGTACTGAAGGCTTGGTGAGAGGGCAAAAGGTTTTGGACTCTGGTGCACCCATCAGAATTCCTGTAGGACCTGAGACCCTTGGCAGAATCATGAATGTGATTGGAGAGCCAATTGATGAAAGAGGCCCAATAACAACAAAACAGTAAGTGTGAATCTGAGGGTTAAATGATAGGCAACCATTCATAGGCTGGTAGCAAAAGCATGTTAATTAGCGTATTTTCAGTTTTATAGAACTCTTGCTGTCTTCATGCTCAACTGTTGTTGAGCTTAGATAGCAGAGCACCCCTACAGTTTATGAGGGTCTGGAGAATTTTAAGGCAGAAGCCATGCCAGCAGTTATTTATTTCATGATCATTCTTTAATCTTGCTGTTCTTAGAAGTTCTGGACAAGCATTTTCTGGCCATTAAGAGCTAGCCTAAGCAATGCAGTGCTAAATTATAAACCAAATTAATAGCAGCATGCTAGCTGTGGAGCAGTTCCTGTATAACATATCACTATTGCTGAACATTAGTTTTAGCACCCCATGCTAGAAAATGAAAATAAACATAATCTAAAATAAAAAAGGTTTTGTTCAAAATACATGTTTTAGATATTGCATTTTTCTTTTGTAACTTAGTGTATAGATTTCAAATCCTGCTTTTTCTGCTCCAACTCTTACTGAACTAAAACTAGACAGTTTTTCTATGATTAAAACACAAATGAAACTATGGTGTTGCAGACTCCTTGGCCTAAAGCAGGCACAGTGTGTGAATACCAAACTGGGGCTTGGGTTTAAGAATTATTGGTGAGCACTTTGTGAATACCCAATATAAGAGCACAATTTTTCATAATGTGTGGCCAACTGTCTTTTTTCTTTCTTCCTCTTGCAGACTTGCTGCTATTCATGCTGAAGCACCAGAGTTTGTTGAGATGAGTGTCGAGCAAGAAATCCTTGTGACTGGCATTAAAGTTGTAGATCTCCTTGCACCATATGCCAAAGGTGGTAAAATTGGTAAGTTACCAGAGGACCCATGTGGAATAGGTTCTATCTGGGGTAGGGTGGTCAGTGCCTTGAATGCCCAAGTCTCCTGCCCCAACAATTTGTGTTCCTCATATCATTAGGCAGTTAGAACCTAAAATCCTGACAACGGCTTTGTTTCCTTCACTGATGAGTAAATTTATGACTTTCGTTCTTCTGAGATTGCTGAAGCCACTCTTATTTCTGAGAAGGAAAAGGAGGAGAATGATAGAGGGTGCATAATCAAAGGCTGAATACTAAACTGACTTTCTTTCCCAGGGCTGTTCGGTGGTGCTGGTGTGGGCAAAACTGTACTGATCATGGAGCTTATCAACAATGTTGCCAAAGCCCATGGTGGCTACTCAGTGTTTGCTGGTGTTGGGGAAAGAACTCGTGAAGGAAACGACTTGTACCATGAAATGATTGAATCTGGAGTCATCAACTTGAAGGATACCACATCCAAGGTGAGCAAGCTATTCAGGCTACGCAGGTGGGAAGGGACTAATCTAGGCCCCAAGAATTCAGTATTGGTTGACTTTATCTGCCATCTCGAAAGGGAATTTTGTAGCTTTCGCCAGAAATTGGTCGCTGTGTTTGAGACTAGCCTATAGAATTCTGAATATCTAGTCTGGACCTTGCGCCAAATGCTCATAGGAAGCTAACAGAATTACTGAAGTACACAGGCTGAAGAGGCTTTCTTGTTAACATTTGTAGTAGCAAGAGCCTGCCTTTGGAGGAAATACTTTTATATGTCATTTGAAGCTACCTTGGTGTGACCTGGGAGGGGCTGATGAGGGGCATAGAAACTTTCTACGCCATAATGAATTTCCTCTTATCCTTCAGGTCGCACTTGTTTACGGACAGATGAATGAGCCACCTGGTGCTCGTGCCAGGGTTGCTCTAACTGGATTGACCGTGGCTGAATATTTCAGGGACCAGGAAGGTCAAGATGTACTGCTCTTCATTGACAACATTTTCCGTTTCACACAAGCTGGATCTGAGGTAAGGCTGGGTATCCTAGGTCACCCTCCATCGGAAGCTTCAATTAAGCTTGCTAGTTAGAAGGCCTCAGTCTTTAAAAAATGTGAGTTTCTGTCCTGAGTGTTGGATGTCTCCAGGTGTATTTAGGATCCCCTATCCCTTGAAGGCAGAAATTTCTAGTTCTCGGTGCCTTCTTCCTGTTAGGACCTCTGTTTTTTGCCATACTCGTTTCCTGCCTGCTTGAAAAACTAATTACAGCTCTTGCCAGTCGTGTGTAACTATCAGGTGTGTAAATAGTCCACAGAGCCTAGGGCTTGCCGATCAGAAGGTCAGCAGTTCGAATCCCCGCGACGGGGTGAGCTCCTGTTGCTCTGTCCCTGCTCCTGCCAACCTAGCAGTTCAAAAGCACATCAAAGTGCAAGTAGATAAATAGGTACCGCTCCGGCGGGAAGGTAAACGGTGTTTCCGTGCGCTGCTCTGGTTCGCCAGAAGCGGCTTAGTCATGCTGGCCACATGACCCAGAAGCTGTACACCGGCTCCCTCGGCCAATAAAGCGAGATGAGCGCCGCAACCCCAGAGTCGGTCACAGGTGGACCTAATGGTCAGGGGTCCCTTTATCTTTACCTAGAAGATCTTATATTTGTCAGCCACACTGCTGTTCAATTACTGCACATTTCTTCTCTTCCAGGTGTCTGCCTTGCTGGGCAGAATTCCCTCAGCTGTGGGGTACCAGCCTACTCTAGCAACTGATATGGGTACCATGCAAGAGAGAATCACAACAACTCGCAAGGGATCTATCACATCTGTGCAGGTAACAACTGTCCCTCTCTAAGGATGGCAGAACTGCCCACGAAGTTCACCGTGTGCTTTGTTTAATAACAAACTTCATCCAATTGCTCTCCCCCTTGATCCAGCACATCTGTTTTTCTTCCTTCAGATGGTTAACATTTAAAGTCATCATCATCAAACCTTTTATTGGTATCACATACAACATCCAAAACAGATCAATACAGAATTACCGCTTCCCCAGTGGCACAAAACATTTGCTAAAAGAAAGGAGGCAGAGCAGTGTTTGCATATGCAATATGGCACTATAGTAAGTCTTTTCTCTTCACAGGCTATTTACGTACCAGCTGACGACTTAACTGATCCAGCCCCTGCGACTACATTTGCCCACTTGGATGCCACCACCGTGTTGTCTCGCGCCATTGCTGAATTGGGCATTTACCCAGCTGTGGACCCTCTCGATTCCACCTCTCGTATCATGGATCCCAATATTGTGGGGCAGGAGCATTATGATGTGGCCCGTGGGGTGCAAAAGATTTTGCAGGTGAGGGTGGATTAAGCACACAATTACTTAATATCTCATGTGCAAAAAAATAATCTCTGCAGAAGTTTGTGCCAATAAACTTTACCCTCACTGGTAGTACCACTGGCTGTTCAAAAGGCAGAATGTAGATTTGGTGTGCATGGTCTGTTCTCCTTCAGGGTGCCTTTGCTGCTTTTGGTCACATGCCTGTGTTCTTTCTAGGACTACAAGTCCCTCCAGGACATCATTGCTATTTTGGGTATGGATGAGTTGTCTGAAGAGGATAAGCTTACCGTGGCTCGTGCCCGTAAAATTCAGAGGTTTCTGTCCCAGCCCTTCCAGGTTGCGGAAGTTTTCACTGGCCATGCAGGCAAGCTGGTACCCCTAAAGGAAACCATCAAGGGCTTCCAAGCAATCCTGGCAGGTAAGAAGTTGTCCTGGTATTTTTTTTATTAAATTTGTATGCCGCTCTTCGTCTGAAGATCTCGGGGCAGTTCACAGAATAAACACAAAAGTACATAATAAAAGCAAGAACAAAGCAACCCTTCCCTTTCCCACAAACACTATTAAAAGGGTATAGGAGATCAATTAGCCTGGTTGAAGAGGAACATTTTTACCTGGTTCCTAAGGGTGTGTAGTGGGACACAGGTGGCGCTGTGGGTTAAACCACGGAGCCTGGGACTTGCCGATCAGAAGGTCGGCGGTTTGAATCCCCGTGACAGGGTGAGCTCCCGTTGCTCGGCCCCTGCTCCTGCCAACCTAGCAGTTCAAAAGCACGTCAAAGTGCAATTAGATCAATAGGTATCGCTCCGGCGAGAAGGTAAACAGCGTTTCCGTGCGCTGCTCTGGTTCGCCAGAAGCGGCTTAGTCATGCTGGCCACATGACCCGGAAGCTGTACGCCGGCTCCCTCAGCCAATAAAGCGAGATGAGCGCCGCAACCCCAGAGTCGTCCACGACTGGACCTAATGGTCAGGGGTCCCTTTACCTTTTAAGGGTGTATAATGAAGGTATAATCCCTGGGGAGAGCATTCCACACCTGCAGCTATATAATGTCAGGAGTTTGCACTCGCACCCAATTTATGGTAATTGGGGTAATCATAAATGGCCCTCTACAATGGACTTGCAGGTGGCTCCGGGCAGTTCATACTGATTTACCACTTCTATCCTCCGTAGCATGGAAGGAAACCCCAAAAAGGGAACTGGGCAGATTTGCATGTCAGCACTTTATGCTGCCCAGAAACAAGTTTGCCAATCATCTGCTTTTCCTGAACAGTTCGTTGTCTGACTTGCTGCATATCTTTTCCTTCGCAGGAGAGTATGACCACCTCCCTGAGCAGGCTTTCTACTTGGTGGGGCCTATTGAGGAAGCTGTGGCAAAGGCTGAGAAGCTGGCTGAAGAGCACTAATGAGTCTGTGGCTGAGGGGGAAATTGTTCTGCACCAAACTCTCCATTGGTTCATATTGTCCAGGTTCCCAACTGGGAAGTCGTGTAACGTGTCTGCAAAGTATTTAAAGTTTTCAATAAAACTTCTGGTGAGATCGTAGAAGTGGCATGTCATGTTGCAAGTGGTGACGTGGGAGGTAATAGCACTTCTGCTGTAGCTTGCTGACTCTCTCTGCCCCTTAACTGCTGCTTGTCATTTCCCCAGCAGTAGACCTGCTCATTCCTAAGATTAATGTGTTGGCATGCAGCCAGTTACTCGTCTGCAAGCTCAAATTCCCTGGAGACTAGGCCTAAAATGCCTCTTCAATCTCCGCTATTTTCTGATTGTCTTTATTACTAGATAAACATGATGGATAATTCTATCCCATTTATCCTGAGTGGTACAACTTTATTGGATGTGCATTTATCGTGTGATCAGTAGCAGCAGAAAAATCCAGATATCCTTAGTAGGCTTCTGCTTCCCTTGACATCTAGTAGGTGGTAGATGATCTGGCCAGATGAAGGAGAAGGTGTAACTCCTCACATACTTGAATTTAAAACTTGATTAGATATATAGTATGCCTAGTTGGTCAAAAAAGAACTACTGGCCTCACTACAAATAGAAGAGCTAGCATATTTTGCCTGTTGCAAGCAGCATCAAGTCCAGCAAGTATATATAAGAAATCTCAACAGGCTGAGAGTAGGTTGGGTGTGCGTTTAAGTGCTCCCTAAGGGTGGCGCTGTGGGTTAAACCACAGAGCCTAGGACTTGCCGATCAGAAGGTTGGTGGTTCGAATCCCCGCGACAGGGTGAGCTCCCGTTGCTCGGTCCCTGCTCCTGCCAACCTAGCAGTTCGAAAGCACGTCAAAGTGGAAGTAGATAAATAGGTACCGCTCCGGTGGGAAGGTAAACGGTGTTTCCGTGCGCTGCTGTGGTTCGCCAGAAGCGGCTTAGTCATGCTGGTCACATGACCCGGAAGCTGTACGCCGGCTCCCTTGGCCAATAAAGTGAGATCAGCGCCGCAACCCCAGAGTCAGCCACGACTTGGGTCCCCTTTACCTTTTTTAACGTCCCTTGCAAGTTACAAACTTGTAGGACACATGGTGGTTTTGAGACACTTCTTTCAGACCTAAGATCAGTGGTAACTGAAGGAAACAAGCTGCCTACATTCTTAAGACAGAGTAATTTGGACGTAATTTTAGTAGGATCTCTTGTTATCCTTAATGTTAATGGAAGGCTGTTCCTCTAAAAAACATGGTGCACTACAGCCCTGTACATAAGCTTGCTGCAGTTTCTATGCTACAGTAGTATATGTGCACTGAGACTTTTCCATCTGGTCTTGCCCTCCTCCCCACTATAATATTTTTCATTCCTAAACCACAGCTAATGATACCGTATCGGAAAGGAGCTGTATTTTGCAGAGCAGCTAGTACTCACTGTGTTCCAGAAAAATCAAGTGGGATACAATCAAATGTTCAAGCATCAAAAGGTTCTTGCAACACTTCAGCAGCAAGAATGAAGAACCACATTGCCTAGCAATCTCCATATATATCTTCCAGCCCTTGCTCCACCCTTTTCCTTGGCTGCCTCTTTTAATAAAAACCTAAAACACTCAAGTTTACACCAAGATGTTCCAGCCAGTAAGAGGTTTATACAGCTTTTTAAAAGAGGAAGGAAAAGAGAAGGAAGGAGGCTAAAGAGAAGATATTTATTTATTTATTATTCTAAAGGATCTAACTGGGGTTAGTGCTTGTTTCAAAGCAGCTTTTTAACCTCTTGTTGATGCCTTCATCTTGCCCCAACTGCAACAAAACATGTCTCTCTGTATCAGCCCCTACAGTTACAGCAGGTGCCTTCCTGCAGTTTGGCTTCACACCCAAAGGTGCACTCTTACTGTCTACTGAGACAAGGCAGATGCCAATTACAAAAGTGAGTGGTACTCATCTTGTCTTGAAGGCTGGTAACCCTACATCTTGGTAGTGCAGCTGTTGCCAGGAGCTCACTTTAAAGATGTTGAAATGTATTAATAAGCTTTGTTGCACTGGAAAGAATAGAAGTCATGATTGCTGTGGTGTGTAAGTAATGTGTTATTAATTCAGATGAAGCCCTTGGGATATGTAATCGCTCTATTGGCAATTTCACCATCTTACTGCTCCATTTCAATCTGCTGGCGGGAGTGAGAGCGCAGGCTGCTGATTGCCTCTGGTCACCATTTTAAAAACAACAAACCATTGCTTGTGTGGTTGAGGTTATCTTTATCATAACTTGCTCATGGGACGTGGGTGGCGCTGTGGGTTAAACCACAGAGCCTAGGACTTGCCGATCAGAAGGTCAGCGGTTCGAATCCCCGCGACGGGGTGGGCTCGGTCCCTGCTCCTGCCAACCTAGCAGTTCAAAAGCACATCATAGTGCAAGTAGATAAATAGGTACCACTCTGGTGGGAAGGTAAATGGCATTTCCGTGTGCTGCTCTGGTTCACCAGAAGCGGCTTAGTCATGCTGGGCACATGACCCGGAAGCTGTACGCCGGCTCCTTCAGCCAATAAAGCAAGATGAGCCCTGCAACCCCAGAGTCTGCCACGACTGGACCTAATGGTCAGGGGTCCCTTTACCCTTTAACTTGCTCCTGAGCAGGTAGGGCCTATGGTACATTTGCAATGGGCCTGTTTCAGAGTGCCCCCTTGTGGCTGCAATGAGACACCACTGCAATAACTGGGTCTTTGCTTAGGCCGGCATAGGGGCATGCATAGCTGGATTCTATCGGGGCTATTTCTAGACGGAATTATGAACACCCCTGGGCAGGTTTTCTCATTTGCAATTTACAGTCTGCTTTAAAGCATCAGTACTGAAACAAAAGTACTCTTGCTTCAAAGTAAATATGCGTAGGATTGGAGCTACCTTCTAAGTATATTTTACACGGCGACTCTAAAGCCCTTAAGCCTGAAAAGACAGACCTGAACCCATGTGGCTAATATTTGTGGAAATCTCAAAGGAGAGGTTTAAGAGTATTTCCAGTACTCTGAGCTTTCAGGGCTATGCTTTTCCTCTTTATTCCTCCCCATGAGCAGTAGAAGCAGAATACATTAAGCAAAACTAGCTAACGTAAGCACGTTGGGACCATTTATGCAAAGTGGTTTTGTTCATTTAAAGCAGCCCTCCCCAGTGTGGTGTCCTCCAGATGTTTCGTTTCTGTATATCTAAATTTTCCAAGCTGCACAGCACTGGCTGAGGCAGACAGGAGTAATGGTTTAAAACAGATGGAAAGCACCAGGTTGGGGAAGCCTGATTTAAAACATCTGTATCTCGTGTTTCCTCTGAAGTTCAATGCTACTAACAAGGAATATGCAAAGGCAATGTTGCAACTACCCAGTCAAACACTAAAAGCACCACTCTAAAAGAAGGAAGCACAAACAAACACCCCTGTAATAATAGGCTTGTGCAGAACTTAAGGATGCCTCTGGAAAGTAGAAGACCAGGGGTTGGGGCAACAGTCCTCTCCCATTGGAGTGTTCCCAGGATTTGGTTCCAGTATGGAAGTGAGAGCTGCACCATAAAGAAGGCTGATCGCCGAATAATTGATGCTTTTGAATTATGGTGCTGGAGGAGACTCTTGAGAGTCCCATGGACTGCAAGAAGATCAAACCTATCCATTCTGAAGGAATTCAGCCCTGAGTGCTCACTGGAAGGACAGATCCTGAAGCTGAGGCTCCAATACTTTGGCCACCTCATGAGAAGAGAAGACTCCCTGGAAAAGACCCTGATGTTGGGAAGGAAAAGGGGGCGACAGAGGACGAGATGGTTGGACAGTGTTCTCGAAGCTACCAGCATGAGTTTGACCAAACTGCAGGAGGCAGTGGGAGACAGGAGTGCCTGGCGTGCTCTGGTCCAGGGGGTCACAAAGAGTCGGACACGACTAAACAACAACAAATACCATGGCCCATTAGTGTGCATAGCCTTATCTTTCATGAATCTCCCTACTGCTTTTTCGGAACCATCCCTACATTAATGGTCACCACCACTTCTTAACAATAACCAGTTCCACAAGTTTATTACGTGGCCTGTGAAGAAGCATTTCTGTTTCTCTGTTCTTGAACCTGTTGCAAATCAACTTGACTGGCATAATCCTGGGCTCTTGTATAATCAGTGGAAGTGCAAGAAAGTTCTTGAACCTCCCCGTTCGCAGTTTCATCGGCCTCCTTTACACACATACATCTTTTATCCTTTCTGTAAACTAAAAATAAAACACCTGCACTTGCTTGGATTGCCAAAGGTGGAACATTCAACCCCTGGCATTCTCAGTTAAAAAAATGATCGGGTTGCAAGTGGTGTAAAAGCCTGAGATACACCAGCCTGAAAAACAAATAGAGTGGTACCTCGGGTTACCTACGCTTCAGGTTACAGACGCTTCAGGTTACAGACTCCACTAACCCAGAAATAGTACCTGAATGAACTTTGCTTCAGGATGAGAACAGAAATTGTGGTCTGGCGACGCGGCAGCAGCGGGAGGCCCCATTAGCTAAAGTGGTGCTTCAGGTTAAGAACGGACCTCCGGAACGAATTAAGTACCGTATTTTTCGCTCCATAAGACACACTTTTCCCCTCTTAAAATCTAAGGGAAATGTCTGCATCTTATGGAGCAAATGTGTGGTCCCTGGGGGGGGGGGGGACCCGGGCTTCCCCCGCCAGCCCTGACAAGCTCTGGGAGCAGCCTCTCCCCAACCTGCTCTTTGGGGCTGGCGGTGGCTTTCCCCAAAGAGAAGGTCGGGGAGCAGCAGAAAGGCTCTTTGGGTCGAGCAGCTCTGGGGTAGCCCGGGAAGCCTCCACAGGGCAGCGGGGAGCCTTCATCCTGCTGCCCTGGGGAGGCTTCACGCGGCTATCCCTGGCTTTTGCAAGGCTCTCTCACTTCCCCCACCTCCCGCAAAAGCCCCCAAGATTAATTTTCTTTAATCCCCCCCCCAAAAAAAGTAGGTATGCCTTATGGAGCGAAAAATATGGTACTTAACCCGAGGTTGCACTGTAGTATGCCATGGCAGGAGGCAGCATGCAATCAGACTTTCTAGCATGTTATTTACAGGACTGACACCACCCTTTAGCCAAAAAAGCTTACGGAAATCAGTGCTGAGACCGACCCTGTCCTCTGGCATTATAATCTAAAAAGCCATGACGCAGGAGGAAAAGGGGAATAGGAGGGAGGGAAAAGCAAGCTCAGGCGCAAGTTCCAAAAGTCATGGCTCATGCCAGTAGCGGTTCCAGCTGCCTCGTCCTTTAATTTAGTTGCTCCCCCCTGTACCACTGCCGCTATTGTCTGGTTGATGCAGATTTGGTTCGTGTTGGTGCAGAATGTTGAATTCGCTTTTTCCTTCTCCCTACGTAGAACCTGCATGCAGCCAAATGCCCTGCTGCTGCTGTTCTTTGCCTCTGGCGTCATTGGTGTACATGCCACCCCACCCCACCCAAGAGCCAGTCACGGAGATGCAGAAGCTTGCATTGGTTCAAAGAGAGGTCTTTTTTTCTTCTCCCTGCTAAAAGGATTGGAAGCTTTGCGCAGATCTTAAAAAAGAATAAAAACACTTCTTCCTGCGTGGGAAGCCGCTCGCTTGGGAAGCTGCTAACCGCCAGGGCAGGCAGCAAAAAAAAAAGAAGAAGAAGAAGAAAAGCAACCTCCAGCCCTGTCTGCTTTGTCACTGGGAAATGCCTGGTCTATTACTGCAGGAGAGCCTTGCCACGTGGTGCTATCCTGCCTCCACTCCCCTTTAATTAGCCAGATGATGAGGCCTCTGTGAGGCCGATCAATGGGAAGGGGTCAGAGTGCTCTGTCTCCAGTGCAGCTGAACAGAGAAGAGGAAAAGCAACGTCTGGGCTTTTCCTTTCGAGCGCCAGCTTCCGAAGTCCTCATCTAGAGGGGGCGAGGTGGAACAGAAAGCTGTCCTCTGCTAATTACTCCCTTTCTTGTCACGCAGGAGATGGCATGGAAAATTGCATTTGGCTGTGAGCAACATGTTTCTGGCTGCTGGGGCTGGCACAAGCTACTTAATTGTTTGCGCTAGGTGAAAAGAGATGTCGTCTTTCCCCCCCACCCCTTGACACATATATGCTATTTGTGGGGAGAACGGGGGACATTTGTTCAGCCATTGGGGGCTTTTCAGTTGTGCTTGGAAAGGGAATATGAGAGAAGTGTCTAAGACAGCCTTTCTCAACCTTGGGGGTCCCAGATGTTGCTGGACTACCAATCCCATCATCCACGACTGTTCCCCCTGCTGCCTATGGATGATGGGAGTTGTAGTCCAGCAACAATCTAGGAACCCAAGGTTGAGAAAGGCTAGTCTAAAACTATGCGCTGGGTGTACAGAGCAGTGAATACAGAGAAACTTTACTTTCTCATCGTTCTAGGGCTCGGGGACATGTTCTGAAGGTGAATGTTGGGAGATTCAGAACAGGCAAAAGGAGGTGTTTCTTCACAAACCAAGCACATAGTTAAATGATAGAATTTGGCCACCAATATTATTATTATTATTATTATTATTATTTTATTTTATTTTATTTTATTTTATTTATTTATTTATTTATACCCCGCCCTCCCCAGCCAAGGCCAGGCTAACAAGCAATAATAAAAACAAGTTGAATGATTACAACTTAAAAACAAAATTAAAATACAACATTAAAATACTGAAACATTAAAATATTAAAATGTAGCCTCATTGCAGGAGGAAAAGAAAAAAGAAAGAGGGGGAGGGAATCAAACTGGCTCCAAGCCAAAGGCCAGGCAGAACAACTCTGTTTTACTGACCCTGGGGAAAGAAATCAGATCCTGCAGGGCCCTGATCTCATGAGGCAGAGTGTTCCACCAGGCCGGAGCCAGTGCTGAAAAGGCCCTGGCTCTGGTTGAAGCTAATCTAACTTCCTTAGGGCCCAGGACCACTAGGGTGTTGCTATTTATGGACCTTGAGGCTCTCTGTGGGGCATACTGGTAGAGGCAGTCCCGTAGGTATGAGGGTCCTAGGCCGTGAAGGGCTTTAAAGGTCAAAACCAGCCCCTTAAATCTGACCCTGTACTCCACCGGGAGCCAGTGCAGCTAGAAAAGCACTGGGTGAATATGCTCCCATGGCAGAGACCCCATGAGGAGCCTCGCTGCAGCATTCTGCACCCGCTGGAGTTTCTGGGACAGCTTCAAGGGCAGCCCCGTGTAGAGCGAATAACAGTAGTCAAGCCTGGAGGTG